CCCCCTCCTTCCAAAGGCATAACCGGACGTGCATTTTACTCATCAGATAGTACGAAAGTAATTCTAGCCGCTGTTAGTAAGGCAGTAAAAGCCTTTTCATCTAGTGGAAAAAGTGTTTTCAGATGTGGCACTTCAACTACGAAAAAAAAAATAATTCCTAAAAGGACAAAATATAGATATTATCAGTTTTGTTCAACTCCAGAGGAATCGAAAGTTATTCATAAAAAGCCGTTTTACTACCTAAATTAACTGCCTATGCCTGTCCATCATTTCAATGCCTGCTTCGGTTAGAACCAAGAAAGAACGGCCAAGAACTTACCCTCTCCCTCATCCATATATACAAGAGAAACATCAACATCACCGGGACTTCTGCAGGGAATCCGTAATGGTCGTTAAGGGTTTCTAAGAGTTTGTCTAGACAAAACAATTCCTTAATGAAAATATACCCCCCCCCAACCAAACACCACCTTTTCTGTACCCTCTCATCCCCATCCCACTTACCTCCTCCCGGTCTGTCTGCCTGTCTGTCTGTCTCTCTGCCCACCCTTCCCCCAAGCAAGCACAAATTATACTTGCACTCGTATCAACTGGCACATACACCTTCATACACACACGCGGGATTGCATACACATACACACACACACACAAACACACACACACACACACACACACCACACACGCACACACACACAACTTTGCTCTGACGAGACAACCGACAGACAATACCAGGTGTACTCACACCAAGGCAAAAAATAGCCGCTCGGCCACGGTGCTACGGTACACTACAGCCGTTTGAGAAAGGCAACTGAATATTATTGTTATCATTATCGGCTTAGTCCCCAGAACGCCTGGGGGGAGGGGGGGGGAGTGAACAACAGAGGTGGCACAGCGATAGAGGTCGTTCAATGCCCTTTATGCTCAAAGCAGAAATGTTATTTATAATGGGACTGCCAATTCAGCTTTTGGCAAAGATGAACGTAGGACACGGATATTCAACTAGCAACTCAAATACAAAAATGTCACAATTAAAAGTTGAACCAAGGCCACCAACTGAAGTAATAACGCGACCAGACAGGAGACCCAAAAAGTAACATAAAACGTCAAAAATTGACAATAGTATGAAAGATCTCCATGCCCC